CCCCTCCTCAAAGGTCAGATCCCCCAGCCAGGACTCCCGCTGCTGTCCCTGGCAAGTTGGCTGCTGTGAGGGCCCCTGCCTGCTAATCGCTGCTGTCCCTGGAAAAGCTGGCCGCTGCGAGGGCCCCTGCCTGCTAATCGCTGCTGTCCCTGGAAAGCTGGCCGCTGCAAGGGCCCCTGCCTGCTAATCGCTGCTGTCCCTGGAAAAGCTGGCCGCTGCGAGGGCCCCTGCCTGCTAATCGCTGCTGTCCCTGAAAAGCTGGCCGCTGTGAGGGCCGCTGTCCATTGCTGAGTGTCCCTGGAAGCTGACCGCTGTGAGTGTCCCTGCACACTGCCTGTTACTGAGTTTCTCTGCACGCTGACTGCTGCTGCGTGTCCCTGGAAGCTGTCCGTTGCCGAGTGTTCCTGGAAGCTGACCGCTGGGAGTGTCCCTGGAAGCCTTCCATTGCTGAGTGTCCCTACAAGCCGCCTGCTGCTGAGTGCCTGCAAGCTGCACACCGTGAGTGTCCCTACAAGCCACATGTTGTGGAATGCCCTGGACTGCCCCTATTGTGCGCTCAGACCACCCTTGTTTGAACCGCCCCATGGCGTGCCCGGAGTACAGCTACCTGGACTGCCCCCCTGAGTGCTTGAGCCATTGCTACCCGCTGAGTCCCCGTGAGCCAGATGTCCCTAGAAAGCTGTGTGGGAGCTGTGCTGAGGGCAGACCCACTAGTCAAGGTCCCGTTGAGTCCCCGTGAGGCTGCTGTTGTCCCTAGAAAACTGTGTGGGAGCTGTGCTGAGGTCAGGCCGCACAGCCAGAGTCCCGTTGAGTCCCTGTGAGGCTGAGGTTGTCCCTAGAAAGCTGTGTGGGGGTTGTGCTGAGGTCAGACCCCATAGCTAAGGTCCCGTTGAATCCCCGTGAGCCCGCTTACTGTGAGTGTCCCTACAAGCCGCATGTCACAGAGTGCCCAGAGCTGCTCCGATTGAGTGCCTTCCATAGTTCAATAAAGCTTTGTGTGTTCTGTCCTGCCTACACTTCCGTCACAGGGGGTTATTTAATAAAACTGGCGAGTGCAAAATCTGGTGCAGCTTTGCCAGCCAATCAGCTTCCAGGTTTTATTACCAAAGCTTCATTGAACAAGCTGAAGTTAGAAGCTGATTGGCTCCCATGCACAGCTGCACCAGATTCTGAGTGCTCCAGTATAGGTAAATCAACCCCATAGTGTCAGAGTACTGAAGACTGCTGTAGGCTAAGGATAGGAAAAGCTAACCAACTGAGTGGGGAGAAACTAGAGCCGGTTAGGAAACTGTAATTGAAGTTTTACTAAACCCCGGACCAGGGGCGGACTGACAACTCATGGGGCCCCCGGGCAATAGGGGATCATGGGGCCCCTGTGTCCTTGCCCAAACTCAAAAAAGCCTATGAAAAAGGTACCAGGGGCATTTCATGGGGCCCCCTACTGACCCTGGGCCCTTGGGCAGTGCCCGAGTTTCCAAATGGTCAGTCCGCCCCTGCCCCGGACCATGCACTCACTATATCCGCTCTCCCAGGACCCTGCACTCACTATATCTGGTCTCCCCGGACCCCGCATTCACTATATCTGATCTCCCCGGAATCTGCATTTACTATATCCGCTCTCCCGGACCCTGCATTCACTATATCCGCTCTCCCCGGACCCCGCATTCACTATATCCGCTCTCCCCGGACCCTGCATTCACTATATCCACTCTCCCCGGACCCTGCAGTCACTATATCCAGTCTCCCAGGACCCTGCATTCACTATATCCGGTCTCCCCGGACCCTGCAGTCACTATATCCAGTCTCCCAGGACCCTGCATTCACTATATCCGCTCTTCCCGGACCCTGCATTCACTATATCCGGTCTCCCTGGACCCTGCACTCACTATATCCGCTCTCCCCAGACCCTGCATTCACTGTATCTGGTCTCCCCGGACCCTGCATTCACTATATCCGCTCTCCCCGGACCCTGCATTCACTATATCTGGTCTGTCAGGGCTCCAGGGTGTGACCAGAGGTGTGTGACTGACGCAGGGAAACACAGACTTCAGATATATTATAAACAATATAATTTATTAACACTAACAATACAAACATAAACGCAGTGCAATACTAAAACATAACACAGTGCAAACAAACCAAACCAACCACCCACAGATAACAGTACATACAATGCAAGCGTCGTCAGGCAGGCCGGGTCAATATCAATCGGGCAGGTAGGTACAGGGGGAGCAAGCGGAGAATGGTCGGGGTCACAAGCCAGGTTCAGCAGGTAGCGGGCAGCGTGGTACAGAGGGTCAGGCAGAGGAGAATGGTCAGACAAGCCAGGGATCAGGAGCAGGAGAAAGGTCAGACAAAGCCAGGGATCAGAGCAGGGTCAGCAACGAATCAGACAGGAACAGGGAGCAGGAACAGGGAGCAGGAACAGGATACAGGGCCCAGGAGAAACACACACCAAGGCAGAGTCTGCAGGTCTGGCCATCCCTTAAATACACCAGTATAAGCAGTTTCAGGTGTTTAGCTGGCTGCAAGGTTGAGTCTCTGATTGCTGGGAGCACCCGCTGGCCAGCCCTGGTACTGCAGCTCATAAGGCAGGTGAGTCCCACCATTGCTGGCCAGTCCATTCCTGACATGGTCTCTCCTGACCCTGCATTCACTATATCTGGTCTCCCCGGCCCCTGCATTCACTATATCTGGTCTCCCCGGCCCCTGCATTCACTATATCTGGTCTCCCCGGACCCTGCATTCACTATATCTTGTATCCCCGGACCATGCATTCACTATATCTTGTATCCCCGGACCCTGCATTCACTATATCTGGTCTCCCCGGACCCTGCATTCACTATATCCGCTATCCCCGGACCATGCTTTCACTATATCTGCTCTCCCCGGACCCTGCATTCACTATATCTGGTGTCCCAGGACCCTGCATTCCAGGACCCTGCATTCACTATATCCGCTCTCCCCGGACCCTGCATTCACTATATCCGCTCTCCCCAGACCCTGCATTCACTATATCTGGTCTCCCTGGACCCTGCATTCACTATATCCGGTCTCCCCAGACCCTGCATTCACTATATCTGCTCTCCCACAATACACACAACATGGAAATGCAATGATTTTAGTAAATATAAACTGCTAAATACCTTTTCTCATCAGCAGTTATAGCAGTCTTGTGACTTCTATCAGTGTCCAGCAGAGCACTGATTAAAATTTGTAGGAAGAATTTTCATTCTCCCTTAATTGTCCTATGAGGCTACCAGGACCCCTGACTCTCTCTCTGGACAGTGTTGATTGGCCCAGTGCTGATTAGATGCACTCTCCCAAGAAAAAAAAAACTCTCTAGCAATACACACCAAACTGAGTACGTGCAGTTTGCCTCAAAGGCTCTGTTCTATCAGCAGATGGATTGGGGACAGCAAAAGAAGGGGAGGAACAGAGAATATCCTTTTTACACAATGCAGAGGATTAACCCCTTAGGTTCCACAGTGAGTATAACCAGCATGCTTTACTGCGTCTACAGACTGATTGTACTGCTGGGGGTTTAGTAACACTTTCAGTTCAGAAAAAGACATCTGACATTTTAACTTTTAATACAGAATATTGCTCTCCTCCAAGATAAAGTATAATACATTTTTTGGGACTATACAGAGTTATGGGATGAAGTGATATTTCCAATACGTTTTTGCTCAAATTTGTGAATTCTCATATTTATTTATCAATTTCAAGAATTTAGAAAAAAAGTTACAGATTCTTAAATTCTATGGACATGGATCTATTCTTTATTGATGGAAAAGTCTCAGAAAAGTCTCAGTCTCAGAAAAGTCTCAGTCTCAGAAAAGTCTCAGTCTCAGTTGGTTAATACTTTCTGCCATCCCCTGGTAATAGAGGGGCACATTAAAAGTGCAGACAATTTACATACGTTTGAGGCTCTGTGGGACCCTTGGGTTAATTCTATACATATTGTTTCCAAACTAATTAATATAAATGATACAAAGGGAAATTTAAATTCCTTTCATTTATTTTACATCCGACTATACAATAACTCTCCCCCATCATTGTATTTATTTGTTTTGTTTTTCTTTACATCTCCTTTTTTTTTTCTTTTATGCTTTTTTTTCACTTTTGTGTTATACAATACATATGTGCATATTTCTTCACCTCAGGTAAAAAATGTATAAAGAAAGTGCAGCGCTAAAATTATTGGTAAGACAAATATGCGTATAAATATTTATTATTATTATTATACAGGATTTATATATTATTATTATTATACAAGATTTATTATTATTATTATTATTATACAGGATTTATATATTATTATTATGATACACGATTTATATTATTATTATTATTATTATTATTATTATACAGGATTTATATATTATTATTATTATTATTATACAAGATTATTTTATTATTTTTATTATTATTATACAGGATTTTTTTATTATTATTATTATACAGGATTTATATAGCGCCAACAGTTTGCTCAGCGCTTTACAATATAACGGGAGACAATACAGCAACAATACAGTTCAATACAAAAGGGATTAGAGGGCCCTGATCCTGGGAGCTTACAATCTAGGAGGGAGGGGCTAGTGGTACAAAAGGTAGTAACTGTGGGGGATGGATTGGTAGGAAGAGTAGAAGATTCCATTATTAGCTGAGGGCAGGATAGGCTTCCCTGAAGAGATAGGTTTTCAGAGATTGCCTAAAAGTGAGCAGAGTAGGCGATAGTCTGATAAATTGGGGTAGAGAGTTCCAGAGGATGGGGGAAGCTCTGGAGAAATCCTGGAGATGAGCATGGGAGGAGACAAGTGAGCTAGAGAACAGGAGGTTGTGCGAGGAGCGGAGAGGACGGTTTGGGTGATATTTGGAGACAAGATCAGTGATGAAATTAGAATTATAAATGGCTTTATATGTTATTGTTAATGAATTTTATCCGTTGGGAAATTTTGAGATTTTATCCTGAGTGGAGGGGAAAGAGGGGAAGCCTGAGTGGAGGCCAGTGGAGGGATTGGCAGAGAGGGGTGGAGGACACTGAGTGGAGGCCAGTGGAGGGATTGGCAGAGAGGGGTGGAGGACACTGAGTTGTGGAGGGATTGGCAGAGAGAGGCGGAGGACACTGAGTGGAGGCCAGTGGAGGGATTGGCAGAGAGAGAGGCGGAGGACACTGAGTGGAGGCCAGTGGAGGGATTGGCAGAGAGGGGCGGAGGACACTGAGTGGAGGCCAGTGGAGGGATTGGCAGAGAGAGGCGGAGGACACTGAGTGGAGGCCAATGGAGGGATTGGCAGAGAGGGGCGGAGGACACTGAGTGGAGGCCAATGGAGGGATTGGCAGAGAGGGGCGGAGGACACTGAGTGGAGGCCAGTGGAGGGATTGGCAGAGAGAGGCGGAGGACACTGAGTGGAGGCCAATGGAGGGATTGGCAGAGAGGGGCGGAGGACACTGAGTGGAGGCCAATGGAGGGATTGGCAGAGAGGGGTGGAGGACACTGAGTGGAGACCAGTGGAGGGATTGGAAGAGAGGGGTGGCAGATACAGAACGGTTAGTAAGGTGGATGAGTCTGGCAGCAGCATTCATGATAGACTGGAGTGGGGATAGACTGCGATGAGGTCGGCCAATGAGGAGGGAGTTACAATAGTCAAGGCGAGATATAACCAGGGAGGGAATAAGTTGCTTAGTAGTTTCCGAGGTTAGGAACGGGTGTATCTTGGAGATGTTGCGGAGGTGAAGTCTACAAAATTTGGACAGTGATTGGATTTGGGGTTGAAAGGACAGATGGGAGTCTAGGATTACACCTCGTACCCTGGCATGAGGGGAGGGACTGATGATTGTGTTATTGATCTTGATGGAGAAGTTGGGGGGGGGGGCACGGGCTGGAGGGAATACTAAGAGCTCAGTTTTGGAAAGATGGAGTTTGAGGAAGTGGAGTGACATCCATGCCGATATGTCACTTAGTAGGTTAGTAATGCGAGAGGAGACTGAAGGGGTGAGGTGATGAGGAGACTGAAGGGGTGAGGTGAGGGGTAGAAAGATAGATTTGTGTGTCATCAGCATAGAGATGGAACTTAAAGCCGTCGGAGTATATCAAGTGACCAAGGGAGGAGGTGTAGATGGAGAAGAGAAGGGGTCCAAGGACGGAATCTTGAGGGACCCCAACAGAGAGGGGGAGTGGAGAGGAGGAGGCAGAGTAATAGGTAAATATGTTTGTAAACCATAAAATGTCAACTTATGAAAATACAAATAAAAATAAATAATAAAATGAATAAAAGTTCAAAGATTCTTCAGCTAAAGCGCACTGTAATTATATCTGCGTATAATAAAGGGGGATTCCCATAGTGTAGTATTTAAAGATGAAATGCTTTAATAGTAATGCGTATTAAAAGGTCATAAATAAACATACACTACATACATATTTATACGCATATTTGTCTTACCAATAATTTTAGCGCTGTACTTTCTTTATACATTTTTTTACCTGAGGGAGTTTTAGTTTTTGCTGCTCTTATAACTTAGCGCTCTCTTTTACTATTTACGCATATTTTTTCACCTATTATGTACTCAATTTCTCTTGCTTTTCACTCCGTTTGTTGGTAATATGCACTTAAAAGCAACAAAAAAGTAAATAAAGACAGGTGAATGTCAGTGTTCCCATTTGGAAATGGTAAAAAAAAAGAGTGATTAATATTTAAAGTGCAAAATATATTTCCCTTGTCTTTATTTGTTCTTTGAAGTGCTCACTTTGCAGACAAATTTTAATTTCTCTGAAATTTAGACAAAAAAATCATGAGGTTTTGGTTTAATTTCACCATTTTGGCTAAATGTGTTGGAGTCAATGGGAAAAAGAAAATTAACCTCCCTGGCGGTATTCCTGAGTGTAGTTCGGGGTAAAGTTTCAGTACCAAAAGCGGTAACCCCGAGCTACACTCGGGCTTACCATGCGGCGCTGTATAGGGAGTCTCTGCAGAGCTTACCTTGCCCTTCGCTCCCTCGATGTGTCCCCTGCAGCATCCCCGGCCATCTCCTCCGGCTGATGCCGGCATCTGGCTTCTGTGTTCCGGTCCCTGTGACGTCGGGACGTACGGGGGGCGGCCGGCGGCGGAGGCGGTAAATTTGAAATTTGAAATTTTTTTTATTTTTTTCAAAACGAATTTTACATAGTATAACATTCCTGTATCAAACCATTTCACATACATTTTGTCCCGAGTGCTTTGTCCGGCGCCCTGCCTGCATTTTTTACTGTTCTTTCTGCCTGGAAACTGAGAAACGTCCATGGCGTCCAAAAAGCGTCCCTTTAGGTCAAAAGCGGTTTTAGACCAGCTAGAGAACAGCGATAGTAAATCAGAACCACTTGCAGAATTGAGTGATAATGATTCGTGGGGGAAATTCCTCATCAGACACTGAAAACGATTCTGCAACTGAGCTCAGTGATGTGCGAACTTGGCGCTCTATTTCACATTTCAGTGTTTTTGGTTTGATTATATTATTGAATTAAATTTATTACTATATTATTTTTTATGATTATTTATTAAATTATAATTTATGATTTTGTGTTTCAAATTTTATCATCCCCGGGATGTTTACTAGACTCTTGTTTCGGACAGATTTCAGTGAGTTATTCCTAAAAATTACAGGCCTACAATTATAAAAAAACTACATATTTCCATGCAGAATAATGGTACCGCTTTCAGCACCAAAAATCTGAAATAATCATACCGCCAGGGAGGTTAAAGCATATTTTTTCACCTATTGTGTATTCAATTTATTTTGCTTTTCACTCTGTTGGTTATATGCACTTAAAATCAAACAAAAAAGAAGTAAATAAAGACATGTGAATGTCAGTGTTCCCGTTAGGAAATGGTAAAAAAAAAAGAGTGATTGATATTTAAAGTGCAAAATATATTTCCCTTGTCTTTATTTGTTCTTTGAAGTGCTCACTTTGCAGACACATTTTAATTTTCTCTGAAATTTAGACAAAAAAATTATGAGGTTTTGGTGTAATTTCACCATTTTGGCTAAATGTGTTGGAATCAAGGGGAAAAAAAATTAACGCATTTTTTTCCACCTATTATGTACTCCATTTCTCTTGCTTTTCACTCTGTTTGTTGGTTATATGCACTTAAAATCAACAAAAAAGAAGTAAATAAAGACACATGAATGTCAGTGTTCCCGTTTTGAAATGGTAAAAAAAAAGAGTGCTTAATATTTAAAGTGCAAAACATATTTCCCTTGTCTTTATTTGTTCTAGGAAGTGCTCACTTTGCAGACACATTTTAATTTCCCTGAATTTTAGGCAAAAAAAAATCATGCGGTTTTGGTGAAATTTAACCATTTTGGCTAAATGTATTGGAATCAAGCGGAAAAATAAAATTTACGCATATTTTTCCACCTATTATGTACTCAATTTCTCTTGCTTTTCACTCTGTTTGTTGGTTATATGCACTTAAAATCAACAAAAAAAGAAGTAAATAAAGACACGTGAATGTCAGTGTTCCCGTTTGGAAATGGTAAAAAAAAAAAAAGAGTGATTAATATTTAACCTGCAAAATATATTTCCCTTGTCTTTATTTGTTCTTTGAAGTGCTCACTTTGCAGGCAAATTTTAATTTCTCTGAAATTTAGACAAAAAAATCATGAGGTTTTGGTGTAATTTCACCATTTTGGCTAAATGTGTTGGAGTCAACGGGGAAAAGAAAATTAAAGCTTGTTTTAACTCGCTTCTGATTTTTTTTTTCAGCTGTCCCTTTCCTGTTCTTTTGCTAAAAGCACTCATTAGTTTTAATAACAGAAAAAAAAAATTGGTCTGAATTTTGTGTCCCATTAAAAAAAAGAAAAAGAAAGGCTGAGGTAAAGAGTCTCCTGAAGCTTCAAAGTAAACTCAGAGGAGAAATGGTAATATGACTTCAAAATGTCACCTGACTGTGTTCTCCTATTCCCCCTTTCTTTCTTTTTTTTTTTTTTTTTTTTTTTTTATTTTATTGCACTTTGCTAGAATCATGAAGTCCGTGAATTATAATGCATGTCTGTAAATTATAGCACTACTTCATAAAAGTGTGGATTTTTTTTTCTAGAGCACAGGCAACAGTATAGCCATACTGCTGCTTTTTAAATGTACCCCTACATTAAAAACCCAAAATTACCCTAAACACATATTCTAAATAAAGAAAAAAAACAGGAGATAATTAAAAAAAAAATACATTTCAACTAAGAGGCTCAGGGAGCAAAATTGAGATTTTCGGATGCATCCAAATTCTGCCAATTGCAAAATCTGTAATTTGCAGTGAAATACCTTTTCCCAAATTACTTTACTCATTGCTAGCGACAGATAATAAAACCTGTGACCCTCATTTATTAGAGAAGTAGAGCATGTTCGCTTTAAATTATCTTAGTGAATTAGGTAAAACAAAGTGAAAATTCACTTTGCAAAGAATAATCAAATCATGTGCAAGGAAAATATAAAAATTGGATTTCTATAAATATTAAATTATATATTTTTGTTCACAGAAGATTGGATGATTAAAGTTAGCCCAATTTCACCTCATTCACTAAGCAAAGAGAACGTTCTCTTAGCTTAGTGAATGATCATCCAATCATGTGCGAGCAAAAATAATTTTTTATCATTATTATTTTCAATTTTACTTGCATGTTTGGGTATTTTTCGTAAAATAATTTTTTCACCTGATTTACAGTATTAGGATAACTGAACATGATTTACTTTACTAAATAACCCCATTGTCTAGTTTGCGACATATATATATATATATATATATATATATATATATATATATGTAAATATACTCTATATTGCCAAAAGTATTGGACCAGCCCTCCAAATCATTGGATTCAGGTGTTCCAATCCCCTCCATGGCCACAGGTGTATACAATCAAGTCCCTAGGCATGCAGACCGCTTCTACAAACATTGGTGAAAGAATGGGTCGCTCTCAGGAGCTCAGTGACTCCAAGCCTGGTCCCGTGATAGGTGGTCACCTGTGCAATAAGTCCATCCGTGACATTTCCTGGCTACTAAATATTCCACGCTCAACTGTTAGTGGGATTATAACAAAGTGGAAGCAACTGGGAACAACAGCAACTCAGCATGGAGGAGATTACAGGCAGTTGCTCTAGGAGAGCTGGACAGGGCCGTAGATGTTCCTTAACCCATCAGCAGGACCAGTATCTGCTCCTTTGTGCAAGTAGGAACAGGATGAGCAATGCCAGAGCCCTACAAAATGATCTCCAGCAGGCCACTAGTGTGAATGTCTCTGACCAAAGAATCAGGAATAGACTTCATGAGGGTGGCCTGAGGGCCTGATGTCCTCTAGTGGGCCCTGTGCTCACTGCCGGGCACCATAGAGCTTGATTGGCATTTGCTATTGAACACCAGAATTGGCAGGTCCACCACTGGCACCCTGTGCTTTTTACAGATGAGAGCAGGTTCACCCTGAGCACATGTGACAGACGTGAAAGGGTCTGGAGAAGCCATTGAGAACATTATACTGCCTGTAACAACATTCAGCATGACCGTTTTGGTGGTGGGTCAGTGATTGTCTGGGGAGGCATATCCATGGAGGGATG